CCTTGTTAATGAACTATTTTCAAATCAGTTTGCTAATATGACTGTGAAAAGAATGTGGACAGGATGTAACTGGGGGAAAACCCTGCATTTTTCTTTTCACAGTCTCATGAATACTTTAAAACACACACACACACACACATTAACAAAGTTGTGAATCATCCAAACAAGCAGCACACTTGCTTTAGTACAAAAATGTTTTAAACAGTTGAATGCAGAGAGAAATACAAGAGAAGACTTAAAAGATTTGCTGAGCCTCTTTATCCGTCGGCTGAGTGGTCGGAGCTCCACGATGGGGCTAAACCACGAAGATGCAATGAACAGAGGGCAAAGTCCCAGTATCTAATACTCTGGGCCAGATTCCCAGCTGGCATGAATCAGCATAGCTTCATTGACTTCAGTTGAGCTATATGCACTGGATCTGGCCCTACACTTTGATCTGAGTGCATTAGTGAACGAATGGCTCCAATCCAATCTGTTTTATTTGAATTAGATAAGATCTTCAGGTCCATGGCTAGTCGCTGATGTACTGGTTGGTAGACCAAAGCATGGAAATCTTTGTTCCTATACCCCACTCCCAACACCACCCATGCTTTTTGCACATTTTTTTGTTTTTAACTTTCTTCTTATAGCATTTTTTTCTGATTTCCCTCACTCCACCATCAATGGATTAGGTCAAAAATCCAAATCCAAATGCCAATTAGGGGGAGGAGTGCTTATCAAGCCCTTTCCCTAGAAACATTATAAACATTGTGCTTATCAAGCCCTTTCCCTAGAAACATTATAAATATTAGTTTAAAAAATTCACACTACCCATGCTATACTTAAGTACTATTACACCACTTTTTGCAGAAGGGTAAACTGAAGGGGAGGGACAGAGGTTAAAGCAGTCAGCTCCCATTCTGAATAGGAAAGGACTAAAACATATTTGTAACTGTTTTCTTGAACACAGGATTAAGCTCTCTGTCAGACAGCTACATCTGTTAGCACTAAGGACTCCTCTCATTTGTATATAGAGATTGGATAATTGGGTAGATCTGCAGGGGCTGTCTGTTTAGTGGTCTCCAACAATGTCCGCACTTGTCCGATCTCTCTTGCTGTAGTAAGGTATGAACTGAGCATCGCTCTCTCTTTCTGTAGTAAGGTATGGACTGATTTTAAAATATCAACAGGTCAAACAGCTAGAAAGTGGCTCTTCTTTAGATTCCCGCTGCATCTTACCAGCCATGTCCCCCTCTGGCCCACTTAATGTGGACACTTCTCTGGGGAAAAGAGCCTTCTTTGCCTGTTTATTGCTTCCATTCAATTTAGGGCACCATAAGCAGCTTTTGGCTCTTTCCATTCTGTGCAAGCCTCCAGAAATATTCAGTGTTTACGAGAGCTCTGTAGTGTTAAATCAAGTATGACTATCACCCTTAAAAGCCTAAATGATGGAGTGATATCCACACCAATAACGCATTTTGACAGTGCCAACACCTGCCTAAATTAAAACAGTTTATTCACTGCTAGAAACCTGTAGAAGATGGAGCTCCATGTTACCAGTTATCCTGGGGTTTTGCTTTACAAAAAAAAAAAAATTGGTGTTGTATTCATGATACCCTGCCTCTTGATTTACTCAGCGGTATAAATGTTGATGAAACATTTAAGAGATAAATATGTGACTGAAATACTGGGATAATTCACTTTCTCTCATCTTTTCAGCCGGATAATGGGAAGTGGATGGGATCTGCAACCAGCTAACAATGAAGTGAGAAAAACACTGCAATAAAAGCAGAGAGCACAGCGAGTCCAGAGCACCTAATTAGCTCCTTTGGCCAACGGGACATTTTCTCCGCATTGTAGCAGGACAAAAAGTTCAGAAAAGGATGGTTCATCCGATCTGCTGCGGGATTTCAAGAATAGGGGTACTGAAATGGTGTTACTTGTTGTTGCCAATGAAACATTAAGAAGCAGAATTAAAAGTGTATTGTAATGTGTGACTGGGAAAGATCTCCTGGGTACAAAATAGAAACCCTCTTACTCACTCGATGCTTTGTCCTTTCTGGGGCTTGACAAGCCAGACATGACCAACAAGTAACTACTGCTAGAAGAGAAATGGGAAATGACCTACCTAGCCCAGAACCAAAAAGTTGGCCGAGTCCTATTATTTCAACTGACTTGGACGTTTTCAGATTAATGATATTTCCATTAAAACTGGTCTTTGGTCGTCTAGGCTTAAAATGAAGTAACTAGCTGCGGGGCCTTTTTCTTGTGGCGTCCAATTTGGCAAAAGGTGAAGACTGCAGGACTTTTGCTGCAGGGAGCTGTCCAATTCAGCACCATGCGCGTGCAGTGGGAACACAAAACGAAGCCCAAAAAAGGCAGACCGAGCTTGCATTTGCTTGGGTCCCTTTGGCAATAGCCTCTTGGAGGTGATCGACTCTGGTTGCACCACGCTTCGAGGCCCACAATAAATGCCTCCGATCAAATGAAAGCCATACAGTAAACACAGTAAAAAGGTAATTGCTTCAGACATGCTGCCAGCACGGCCATATCAAAAAGCTCAATGAAGACATAAATTAATCCACTGCCATATGCAGACTGCTACAGGTTTTGATGCACTGATTTGCTTTACAGGTCTCTGGAGGTCAGTCTGTGGGGGTGAATATGGCATGCCACGCAATACAACAAACCCTTGTCATCAATTTATCTTTGCATGCAAAAAGGATGAGAGTATTGATAACAACAAGTCACTGTACAGGGTGAGTGAGTGATGAGAGCCTCTTCACTCATGCATAGAGATGTATGTGCTTCTTGATTTTTTCTTGGAGGGATCATGCCAGGTGTGCGGGAGCAGCATGTTCAAGGTTAGATTAAACATGGGAATGGCCACCAAAAATTAACTTGAACATGTAATATTACTGCATAATGCAAGAAGCCTCACCAGAAATGCAGAATGCTTTGGTATTTCCTTTCAGGGCCTACAACCCTAAGTAGTGGGTGGGGGGTGGGGGGAAAAGTTTCTCTCCTGGAAACATCCTTTTTAGGCAAAAGAAACGTTAAGAAATTTCAGTGACTCATTTTTTAGAACAATTGTTATAGGGGACGACAGCATTGCGTAACTTGAGTTTTGGAAAGACGTTTTGCAGGCCAGAGTAAGGAGGGGGAAAAGTGCTTTTGTCGTAAGATATACAGAGTAACTGTTTATTAATAAACTTGAGGAAGTTGATCCTCCTTATGCTAGAGACTACTCCTCCAAATAACAGATAGGTAGGGCTCCTTTTCTTCACCGCTGTTTCACTATTGTTATACACATTTCAGTGTTAAAAGCATGCTGACTTCTCAAAATACTTCAGCCTGGAGAAGACTATCACCTGCTGCAAGGAATATACACGGCCAATGCAACTGATTTTCTTAAATGTATCCAAGTTTTTCATTGTAGAAAATAATTAAATGTGCTGCTACTAATAGTAATGAACTTCAGCCTTCTTTTTAAACTGAAGCAAATGGACTTCTGCTTTTCCCATAAGTCAGGTCTGGTGCCCCTGAAAGGAAAGTGCTGCTCCACTTCCCTCAACTTTAAAAACAAGGGCAAGTTTTGCTCCTTGCCATAGCAAATTTTGTTTAAGCAATGAACCACGTGACCCCCTCCCTGCCTAGTGCCAGCATAGTCCAGTGACTGAAAAAGATAGTTAACAGTCACAGACGCAAAAGTACAGCAAGTAAACAGGCAAACATCCACAAGCCCCATACATAATCCATAAGGATAAGATAGTTCAATGTTTTCTTAAGGCACAAATAAATTATACAATGAAACTGAGGCAGAGACGTCCCATTGCACAAACTAAGAAGCCAGTTCTGACTTAGCAGTAAATGCATAATAAATGTGTGTCATTTGGCCTGAGAAAATACACATAGTATTTCTAACACACAGTTTCTATTCCTATAAAGAAGTCTCACAATGGAAAAAAGGGGGGAAAAGCTATTCAACAAGATTTTGCTTTAAAAAAAAGGGACTATCCCTTAAAAAAAAAAAAAAATCTCATCATTTCCGTAAGGGAAAATAGGCTTCACGGTGTCAGATGATCTTTCAAGAAAAAATGATTTACTGCCCCAGGTAAGAAAGTAAAAATATAAATGTAAGTAAACACTTTTGTTTTCCCCAACAACTCAAAGGAGAGTGGAGTGGAGACTGGGCTGAAAATTGACAGTGTCTGCAGGTGGTAATGTGCAGATTTGTTGTAACAAGCCCTAAACAGTAAGAAGATAGTGTGTGCCTGCATTAACAACCGTGAGCTTGGGCTTTCATGTCCTGTTCAATATAATGCACTATCAACCATCCACAGAGCCAAAGTGACCTTCTCAGCTCTCCCCAGCTGGTAGAGGAGCATCTCAAAGTGCTGTGAGAAGGACGGAGCAGCTGCCTCGGGAAAACCATCCTGTTTCATACAGAGCGAGTACAAAGTGCGACCACAACACAAGCCCAAACAACAGCTCTAGACACAGTTGTGTCTGCAGATGCAGGCGCGGGTTTGCATTTCAGGGAAACGCAACTGAACCGGGACAAACCGACAGCCTGTGGCTTTGTCCACTGTTGCTCGATCACTTTGCCATCTCTGGAAACTCTGCTCTGAAGTTAGGCACTGAATGAACCACAGTGATCATCCGGCCATTAACCCATTCACCCCCAAATGCAGGCCCCGCTGTAACAAATACCCTCTGACTTATCAGCTCCCCACCGGGGCAAAAGAAAACTTTGGGAGAAGTAAAGGTAATAAGCACAGGGGACCTGAGCGTGCAAGACCACAGCACCCACCGAGGGGGGCAACCTGGGGATCCCCTTTTGCCAGGCTGGGAGGCCGCCCCGGCTCTCCCAGCGAGTCGCGAAGCAGCCAGAGCCTGGCTGGGACATTGAGGGGCTTCTCCTCCTCCCCTACGTCCCCTGCCCTGGCCTCCCCCTGGGGCAGCGAGACCCGGGCACGGCACGGGACGCCCAACAAGTGCACAGATGCCCGGGCACTCACCGATGGTGGTGATGACCGTGATGGCAAAGTAGAAAGAGCCAGCAAATTTCCACTGGACGCCGGCGCGGTGGGGCTCGGACTGCATGATGACCAGCTCCAGCTGCCGGTAGTCCTCGCTGGTGATGTTGTACTTCCCCTTGAGCCGGATCTCCTCGGCTTTGAGCTTCTCCTCCTCCCGCATCTCGTGGTCGGACTCCAGGGCATCGAAGACGGCGGCGCCCACCAGCAGGTAGGTGAACGTGCAGATGATCAGGGACAGGGTCCGCACGTTCTGCCTCTTCATGGCCGCCAGCAAGGGGCGAGTGCGAGGACCATGTCCCCCCCTGGCCGCCCGGGGATCCGACAGGACGCAG